AAACACTTGCCGCGCTTCGAAACAAAGCGCAACGTAAATAAAATAGTGGCCAACGATTTCATGTTTCATATTGATCCAATAACAGATTGGTGTTTCACTTTGTTCGGCGATTTTTTTGCGTTTCGTATTCATCGGCGAAGAGTCAATACGTTCTTTTTATGCTCACGGGTTCATTTGTATTTTGTTTGGTTAGAATTGCCATAGCTGGTCTTGGCTAAAAGTTTATACGTTAAAAAAAAAATTGAAAAGAAAATTCATCTCACCAAAAATCAAACAAGTGACCAGAAGGGCAATTGTTGCTTTATAAATAACTGACAAGTATATAAAGAATGTGGTCAACCCAATGCTAAATGCAAGTACAAGCCAACCGACCGCAATGCCAACGATTTTCCAGTCAAAATCACTTTCAGTCCGTCTTCCGTGCAATTTTATCGATCGATAACTGACGATCAAAACGAAGTAAAAAAGTACAAAATGTGCTGAAAACAAACGAATTTCGTCAATTAGAAGTTTTAATTTAGAACACAGAACTGTAAACACATTTGTTTCTTTATGAAATATAAGCAAAGAAATTTTTGTTAAGTCAAACAAAAAAAAACGAATGAAATCGTTTATATAAATACCAGTCACAGCGAATGCGATAATTTCATGGGCCGAATATATCGGCACAATTTCACGAAACAGCGGTTTTTGAAGTATAAAATAGAAAATGAGACCAATCATGACATTAAGCGGAATGCCCCAAGCCATGAGCGATAGTAGTAAAAAACCAGTTTTATTCTGAAACGATCGAGAAAAAAAGTAGTTTCAAATTTCAATATCCAAGAAAGAAAAAAAAACTTGATGATTACGTGAGAGATTAGAGATTTGAAATCATCGTTGGATATGTTGAAGAACAGAATTGATTTGAAATTCTCTCTCTCCAATTCAAAATATACATACGTTAGCCAAACCATGCAGCCATGTGCCCGTGGCTACCAAGTTCAAGACTGCAAAAGACATCCACCAGCCAAAAAGATAAGAATTTGGTTTATTTTGTGTGTTCTTTGCTCAAACACATTGCGAATGTGAGTCAAAATGACACGAAAACAATCGTAGAATTTACCCGATACCAAGACTGGTATTATCAATTTAGCTCCCACCAGATAAGATACAGCGGCAAAATAGATCATAAATGTTAAGCCAAACATGATGCCTAGTGTCTTTGCAGTGCGTTTCCATTTCAGAAATCGATTCGATTGACCGTTCTCCATGCTAAACTTTGACCGATGCCTTCGATCACCAATGTTTCAGTAACAAAATACGTATTTTACGATCGAATGACCTTGAGAATACGTCAATAGACAATGTTTTTAATTCACTTATCATCAGATTTACGTCCAAATTCTACAAAGTACTTTTTTATGTGAATAAAACTCATTTCTCTCAACTCAACTGATTTTTTTTTTCACTTCAAAATACAAATAAATGAATCCCGGCTAAAAACTTCACGTGACATTTCAAAATTGAAACAAATTTCGATACTGAACACAGGCAATGTGTTTATACGTCAAACGATCGCGTAATACTGCAAACACATGCGATCAACGCCACTGAATTATTTGACAATAAACATGTGTTTTGTTATCTCACACATGCTTGGACCGGAGCTGGGTGGCTTGTTCTTTATACTGTGGCTGGAATACTTGTATTTGTTGCATTGAAACGCACGACGTGACACCGGCTAGCGAATCGCTGTCTTGTAAACGAACACCATGTTGTCGAATCTCAAATTCGACAAGTTCCAATTCGAATGAAGAATTTCGTTTACTCAAGTTTTTTTTTTTTTTTTTGAATTTCGTTATTTGCATGCGAGTTCGTGGTTTCAAACATAGATCTTTGCTCTTTTCGTGATTCAAGTGATTAACAGAATACCTCCAGTTGAAGTTGAACAGGTAAAGAGAAGAGATTTGGAAATGGTTTTGCAAGGAAAAGGGGAATTGAATATAAAACCGTTGATTACACAAAAAATATAGTTTATTTCCATAAACGAGTTCACGAACGAATTCAAGATAACGAAAACAATTGGCGCAGTCGTTCACTTTTCGAATGCCATTGGACGAATGAAATCAGGTTTCGGGCGAAATTCAAATGGATTTGAAATCAAAGAACACACGAAGTGAATCCTCAGAAACGTTTTTGCAACTAAATACTTTCTTCGAAGACTTGGTGATGAAAATAGCGAAAGAGGAATTGGTTTCAAATCGAAGCTTTCAAGATGTAAACAAACTAGATGGGTAGATTCACCGTTCAGTCGAAGAATGAAATATAATGTTGTTGAGGTTCAATGAAACGATTATCGTCATTCACTTTCGAATTTTCAATTTTTATTCACTATTCAAGAGATTTCTTTAACAATAGTTATTTATAACTTAAACATTTCTACGATTAAGCGTTATTTGGTAGGAGAGGTTGGATTTTTCTTCTTCTTTAAATTGCTATTGTTTTTTATTTTCTCATTTCATAATTTTGCGATGATTGTTTTCAACTTAATTAAACCGAGATTCTGGTCCCGTGAAAAACTTACTAAAAAATTCCATAACATTTACCTAAATTTAGCCAACGAAAAATCACTAAAATTCGTTTAAGATACTATGCCAATATTGAATAAATAATGTAAAAAATCCATTCAATTCGAATGGGTAACTTAATTTTGTGGATTTTCGAAGTGAATCTTCGAATATTATCACATACATTTTGTGTAATTTGCACATGCATAGTGCAAAAAAGATCGTTGAATGCTTTTAATCGTTGTTAATGCACGATATGCTCATAAAATATGAGAATGTTTTTAAATCGAACGATGAGGTAGCCTAGGAGCTAGCTATATGATAGATTATCAATTTAATTTCCAAATGTGAATCAAAATCCAAAGTCTGATTCCAGATATTCTGCAATGGAAAGTCTGTACTAGATATAAAATTCTCGATTTGCTGTCGATGCCACTGTGTACGCCACATCTAGTCTTTTCGTGTGGATGGATCGTTTAATCGATGTATAGCTCATAACAGCGACAAAATACACGATAATACAAAAAGCTGGAAAAGTTTTTTAAACAAAATCTGGTTAATAGAATAGAACGTAATTAAATGTCTGGGCTTGGACTTAAAACTTCCGTGCGTAATTACTTCTGACATTATTCTTTTAAATAACGTCAACATGGAGTAATTAAATAATAATAGCTCAAATCCTTTTCCAGTTATACCTGTTAAACCGTGTAGTATATTTTTTCGCCGTTGATTGTTCATAATGCGCCCGTCATCTTTGATGAAAAAAACGAAAATGATCCACAGACAGAGAAGCATTAGCCACCATAACAATGAAGCTAGCATTCGACCGACTTTGTTCTGTAGAATAGACAATATAGTCTCATTAGTTTACATTATTGTAAAGAACTACAATGTTGCAACGTGAAAAAATCCATATTCTTAAGTTACATGTTTAACCTAATTATTGCAACATAATTTCATATTGCTTGGTAACAAAGAAAAACTTACGGAAAAAATGCCATGGAGCCATGATATAGAAGCGGCTACATTGAAGGCTGTAAGAGTGGAGAAAAAGAGAATTTAATGAAACGGTTAGTTTTGGTTTGATTTGAAATGTTGGAAAATTCATAATTGTCACATTAGAGTAACAAGAAATAGTTTTCTGGGAGAGAATCTTGAGTCAAGAACATTTTTGACACTCAAAAATCGCCATTTTTACTCTTAATTGATGCAAAATAAATCAGATTGACTTAGAAAAAGCCCTCAGTAAAAGTGATTAATTTGTGAAAAATGGACTTTAATGTGGTTACTCGTCGAGTTTGGGATGAAATCTGATCAAAGTTTAACTACCAACTGTCATGGTTGATCAAAATATCCGAAAAACGATCGATCCATAGGCTCTTAATTAAGGCCGATGTGTCGTACTATGATTAATTAGCGCATGATTGCTACTAATAACTCTAAATAGTTATTAAATAATCCAAAACTCACCAAATATCAAGAAAATTGCAAACAAAAAAGTCTCTGTTGTTTCTGGAAACACTCTGAAGAGAAAAAATGCGGTTTGACCGACGCTAAAAGCCATTATAAGCCAATTAGCAGCCATCGCCGTGACTTTCCAATCAAACGTACCATTTGTAATATACAATCGAATGTCATTGGATCCGTTCATCCGTAATTCATGTCTATTTATTGCTCTATAGCTCAGCAAAATAATGAAAAAGAAGATGACAAACATTGCTGAAAAAGAGGAGATGTGATGTTGATTTATTTATAGCACTTAATTGATGTTATTCATTCCGAAAAAAAAAAGGTTCAAATATTCAATGGACAATACCTGTTGTGATGAAAATTGAAATGTCTCGAATATGATACGCATATAGATTACTGTGGTAGAACATTTTTTCAAATATTTCAAAAATAATGGCACCAGTCCAGAGATTTAAAGGCACCGCCCAAAGAACCAACCCAGCATTTGCTGGGTTAATGAATTTTTTTTTATTCTGTTGGGGAAAAAACATCAATTTAATAAATAATAATCATAATTATCTCTGGAAAGAACGAGAATGTAATTCTTTCGCCTAGTCTTCCGTAAAAAATCAAATTCTTTCGTGTATATAAATCGAATTTGTTCACAAGAAAGCACTTTGGACACGATTTTGCTCTTTTTTTTGGGAGGAAAATGCGTTTGATTCTTCTCGACCAGACAAAAATAACAGAACAATTTTAGCATCGTTTCACTGAAAAAAAAATAGTTTAAATCCCTAGTTAAACTCACTTTGACTATTATTCCGTATGACCACAAGCTCAGAGCCACTGCATAACTGATTGTAAGTACGTAAAATTGTTCAATTCGAACATAGCTCATGTCATTTGATGAGCATAACAGTGCGAAAAATGCAACGAATCCAATGCTAAACACGATTCCAAGAAGAATCGCCACTTTTTCCGTCATTTTCCAATTTGCAAAGAGTTTTGATTTGTTCTTTTCCATTGTGAACTAAGAGAATTTCGCACTTTGAACACAATTTCAACTGGAAACGTCGGAGACTTCTATTCACAACAACTTTGAAATGCAAAATTTTGATGATTGAATGCACTTTTTATTCACTTTGTAGTTCTAAATTTGAATCACTTTCTCGTTCTAAATTGCTTTGTGGTTTCGAATCGCTTTCTAGCTTCAAGAAAACGTCATTTTTGAATACAATTCAAATGAATACAATAACACATTTTGATGACTTGAGTCAAACGTTTGTTTTTTTTATTTTCTTTTTAATTTGTTGTATTGTTTATGCGTTGAATTCTGCTCGTTTGCAAAACTGCATAAAATGCTGTTCTTCTTCACACGATAAATAAAAAACACGATAAGAAAACTTAATTGAAGGGCAAACAGCGCTTAACGCGCGACAAATGAACAAAGCACTGTGTCTGCTTCCACAACCGTTGAGATACTGATTATAGCACACTGTGCATACATTGTTGATTTACATGACAACCGACCGCAGCTCCGGCTATAAACATGTGTTTTTATGGCACACATAAACAAATGACTTTTTTTCCTTCTCTTTGCGCGTCGTTATATGCGAATGCGATTCTTACATGTTGTTTTTCTGGTCTTTTCCTCCTAAGAACAAGCCCAATGCGAATACGAAAGTGAGAAAGGAATGAAATAGCCGACTGTGTGTGTGTGTGTGTTTGTGTGTCGCAATATAGGTTCAAAAGTCCGAAAAATCGACGAGAAATAAACACAAATATTAACACATTTATCTTCGTAATAAATCACAATTGGTATCAAGTATTGATGCTCACCACTGTATTTTTGCGTATTTTTGGAATTTATCGCCAGACGCAGATACTTATTTTAAGACGATGATGATGATGATGAGAGAATGATGGAGATGTTATCGCGATTGTATTTTAGACATTATTGCTTATTCATTTATTCGGCATTGGCATATATATGGCAGCGCACCGCTACTAACGATCACCAATTTTAGACTTCGAATTCTTTATGGTCAGTGGGCGCCAACATAAACACTTGATCGAACCGTTGAATTTCTTGTATTCTTCGTCGATTTTCTCTCTTCATTGACTCGTAGCTCGTCACAGCGATGGAATATAAAATAATGCCAATGGCTGGAATAGAGCGAGAACAAATGATTTAGAATGTTATTACAATTTTCATCATTGTTCTTTTCAATAATACATCAATTCACTATAATATCGTAATAAGTAACTTTGTGTGTTATTTTTAGTGTCTTTTGATCGATTTTAAATTGTGAAATTTAATTCTAATTTTTGAATGAAAATGCAATGAAAAATAATTAAGGAAGTGATTTTTTTTTATTGAAATGAAACTTTTTAGTACCTGTCACTGCATAAAGAGAATGATCACGAGGTTGATACAATGCTTTGCCTTTGGACATTCGATCGTATATGGTGTAGATTGTGACATATAACCAGAGAGTCAGGACGAGCAGATACCAAACGACCGCGGTGAACATAAATCCCGTGTGTCTCTGCAAATGAAGGAGGTAAAATTCGAATCGATTTGTGAGATATTGTTTTGATTTGCTTCTAATGCCCGTTGTAAGTGGTCTGTATTTAAAATTTAAAATTTCAACTTTGCGAAAACGGCCAAAAAATGAATGCTGACAAATTGGAACATAAATTTTTTTTCTCTTTTCATCTCTAAATTTGATCAAATTCAGACATTTTTTTTTATCAAACTTTGATAGAAAAAAAAGTCTGCGAAAAAATCTTTTTTATTTCATTGCTGAAAATCTTTCGAGGAACATGCTCATTCAAGTTCATCAATTCGAATTTGATGAAAAAGAAAATATTCGCTCTTTTGCCAATTGAATTCAGGTCATTTCGGCTTTCAATAATCTCTACTTCGATCAAATCACTTACTAGAGCAATGCCATAGAGCCAGTGGATGGTCATCAAGAGATTGAAAACTGGAAAAATGGTGAAATATTGAAGTTTCAATTTATTTCATTGTTGTGCACAGCTTTACTTTATGAAGTAACGCTTAATCGAATTTTATCTGATTTCATTTAAACTACATCAAAGTGTCGAACTTACCAAAAATCACAGTAACAACAACGCAAGTTCTCGTTTCCGAGAATAAATTAAAGAAGACAAAAAATGACGGTTGTCCAATGCTGAGCACTATAATCATATATCCAACGGCTGTTCCGGCAACTTCCCAATCAAAATTCCAGGCAGTAACATACGCAAAACTCTTTGGTGCCGATGTTTGATTAACTCTACTCATTGATATGTATATCATAATAATAACAAAGTAAAAAGCCACGAAGAACGCTGAAAATATGTCCGGAAATGAACTTTAACCTTTGTTTTAAGTTAATTTATTTATAGCGGTTAGATGTTAGAATAAGAATTTTTGTGTTTGTTTGATCTTAGTGACAATTATCACGAATTAGTTAAAAGAATGTTTTTTCCACGTTTTTTTTTTTTCATTTTTTCAACGAAAAATGAAGCATCCATAACCTATAGACAATTATCGCCAATTAATCTTTATCGAAGTTTTAGAAGAATTGGTTTTAGTACATTAAAAAATACCTGTTGCGGCGAAAATTTGTAGATCACGCAAATAATACGGATAGCAAATGGAATCGGGCGATGTCTTCAGAAATATACCGTAAAACACGAGACCGATTGTTAAGTTCAATGAAATACCAAACCAAACGAGTGCCGCTAGCAAATAATAAGTTTTGTTCTGAAATGATCCATGATCGACATGAACTTCTTTTTATTGTAAGGAAAAAATGGATTTTCTGATGTTTCTTCGTTAAAAAAATTGTCTTGCAAAGTGGGAAATCAAAATTTTTTGAGTTTAGTTTACCTTAATTGTTCCAATAAGCCACAGAATTGAAGCCGCTAAATAAAATACTGAAATCATGTGAAAATGACACAAATTAACCGTTTTGATCTTCATTAAATTTTACATGTAATGAAAACTTTGATGATATCGGATTTCCATTTTGAAAACTTACTGTGGATCAAAAGAATGAAGAAAATTTTGATTTCCAATTTGGTGTCCGTAACAAAAAAATGCAAAGACACAATGGCAAAAAATGCGATAAACCCGAAACCAAATGCAATTGCTATGCAGCACATATCTTTGCCGGTGCATTTCCAATTCAAACAGCTGCTCAGCTGACCGGCTTCCATTTTCTCGATTTTGAATGAAATTTCGCCAATGAAATGAAGTCACCGCTCAAAGAAATGATTTCGAAAATAAACTCTTGGTTTTACATTCAAAAATACGTATTTTTGATGAAATGACCTTGAACTTGGGCCGAAAAAGTAGTGCACTTCACTTTCAATTCATTTGCACTTCAAATTGCGGGAATTTAAGCTCGAAAATTCTTATTTCAAATTCAAACCGGTGTTTTGTTTCATATTTTTTGTTACTTTTCATTCAGAATTTGAAACTCAATTTCAAACACTTAAAAAGTTATGTTTTTTTTCAAGTTTTTTGGTGTTTGCGAGAGAAAAAAACTGAAGGTGTTATGCCCATAAAGCGAGAAATATAATAAAAAACACTAAATGCACATGCACTTGACACTTGGTTCAATGCCGAATTGCGACTGAACAAGGTGAACGTTGCTTTGGCGATCGCCGCTTTAACGGCACTGTCCGCATGGACGGAAATTCCGCAACGATCTGTAAAACCGGTTGCGATCATATGCTTTATAATGTGTGCGCTTCCGATTATTTATAATCAAATTTATGCATTTTTACACATTTTTAGAGCAAACGTCATCATTATTTGACGTGTTCGCGCATCGACTGAACGTTTTATCTTATCTTATCACATTTCATGGGAATTTTGCATCAAATCAACCAAAAAACATTAGGTCGTTCACTTGAAGAAGGAAAACAAATTTTCTGTGAATGGATTTTGTTTGCGTAGAAAAGAATAACGAATTTCAACAGAAAAGAGTCAAAAGAACAACAATTTCAATTGTTTTTTTCCCGTAAGATAAACAATTTTTAATTTACGTTTATTACACTCGACGTTGGAATTTGTACATCTTTGACAACCCACTTGTTTTTAAAGTCAAATTCCACTTTTCCATTTAGAACCCACACGAAAACTTTAATAAATACCTTCATTCCAATGTAATTGAGAAAAAAATGCCATGGTTGAAAACTTTCAACGTGTAACGAGTACCTCTCCGTAATAACGAGCATAAATCCCTTGAACTCACTTGCCTGATCTGGTGAGAGCAATTTTACAAAATTTGTTGATATTGGTTATATTGACACTGGTTCCACAGTCGATTTGTTGGTGAAGTTCATCGCCGCCACATAGAGCCAACTAATGGTATCCAATTGGAGACTATTAGTTCAATGAATCATTGATTTTCTTAGTAACTAAGACTTAGTCTATGATTCGGAAATTCAGAATCTGAATCACAGACTCTTTGAACCGTAGCCCATGTGAAAATTTAGTAAAAGTAAACCTACAACGGTGAAAATGGACCGTTCGAAAGTCTTTGAAAGAATCTCTTGACGCATATTCTACCGTTGTCTTTTCAAACTCAAGAAACTTATTGCACATATTGACAATATGATATTGTGTTTGCCATTTCAAATTAATTCAAACGCTCTAAACTAGAGGTCGCAATCAGTTCCATTGCCTGAATGTTGCTTCAAATTAAAACATTTGCCAAAAACAGCTTTCAAACTGGAACAATTCTCGCTTATTGATTTTTCTTTGGACACATGAGTGGTTTTTTATCATAGCCCAATTTCACGTATGAGATGACCTTGGAATCTAAAATAGCTATACACCTTAGAAGGCGTTGTTGTTTTGTACGAAAACATTTTCAAATCATTTGAAATGATTCATTGATTTGGTGCGAATCCAATAAAATCAAACTTCGGAATTGAACCTAATCAAATCAAAATAAACGGGCTTGATTGATTGAAATTCCATTGAACAAGTGACTAAATCAACGAAAGAATACTTGAAATTCCAACGTCTAAATTAAATGATGAACTCAAGGATCGACGTGGAATTAATAAAGTGATAATGTCGCCTTAGTGTAAACATAGATGCAAACGGACCGCAGTAACCAGCATCAACTAGTTCATAACTAATTACAGCCATGTGTTATGTATTACATTACTAATGTACCACACTTACACACACTCTCCCGCAGCTGTTTACAACATTCGCTGCTAAACAGCATGCGTCTGCGTGTATTGTGACCATTCATTGTCTTGTCACGCTTTCGTTTCGCATGGGTGCCACAATTGACAAATAATCATTTTGGGTCATTAACATTCTGAACAGTCGGAATCATGTCACTTCGAAGGCAACGGCTGCGCTTGGCTTTGTCAAACGCTTCTGCCATGATATCACCGACGTCACCACACTAAAGTCGCTGTATTTTGCATTAGTTCAATCGCACCTCGATTACTGCGCCATGGTATGGCTTCCATTCCACAAAATTCACAGCGACAAAATTGAATCCGTGCAACGCCAATTCACTATGTACGCTCGTCGTGAATACCCATCCGTGCATAACCAATACTCAATCACACCGTACGAGCAGCGATTGTCAGACTTGAACATGATTAGTCTTCGCCGTCGACGTGTCAACGCGTCACTGACTTTCTTCTACGACATCATCAACGGTAATGCTAACTGTCCAACAGTTAGTGACCAAGTCTCACTTAATGATGGGCGTTCATTGAGACACAGCGAACAATTCAAGGTGAATGACAAGCACATGAAGCTGGTGCGCGAAGCTCCAATTCCTCAAATGTGCAAAATGGCGAACATTGTGCCGGAACTGTTCACAGCTGCGACCTCAAAGAAGAATTTTGCATCATCGGTTCGCAGAATGGCGGACACCACTTTTGGATCGCTTTGCAAACTTAAATGACTACCTGGCCGCCTAGTCAACTTCTCACCCAGGTAACCTCATTTTTTGTATATGTTCTCCACGAGAACACCTTGATACTGCCCACATTAATGATGAAATTTCGATTTTCATGTTGCCGTTAAACCTGATCCTGATCTCAAGCGGACAAACTCATCAATGACAACGCATATTGCCCGAATGCCATTTAGGTTGCTGCTGATTGAAACAAACAAGAGTGGGGCTGCCCCAGATACCAACCACCTACGTGGTATTCGACTCATCGCACACGAATCACACAGCAAAATCGATACTAAAAGACTGACGAATTGTTCCCCATACATTCTCTTATGTGTATGGAAATGATGATGCTTATCTGTGATGTTTACACTTATTATTTATTGTAAAATTTGATTTTGTGCTTTGTTGTAGCCATCCATGAGTTGGCAACTTAATATTATTATGTCTGAAATCAATTTTGAATTATTCATAATTAGCATCAAATGCTCTAGTTACGCTTCAAATCATAGTCCATGTCAACTCAATGCACTCTGCAATCAACATGGATCTGCCTTTAAGACGTAAAACTTCTCGTCAATTTATCCACCGGTATAAATTGAGCGACGACTTTTGCTGTCCTAGGGTCTCAAATTAAACGTGTAATTAAACGCTTCACATAGCCTTTGTTCCTTTGGAAACGTTTACCAAAGGTTATCATGGACCGTTTGCCATAGACTAATATCAAGCATTTCCATCTTGGTTGTATGACTGTTTTTTCGTTTTCATGTTCCTACTATTGTGAATACCGCATGATGTATGAAAAGAGCCAGGTTTTTAACGAGGCGAGAACTGATAGTTATGAAAAATTATCGCTACTAAATGTTTATTATTTTAAATATGTAACAGTCTTGCACTCTTTTCCGGCCAAACCTTAATCAAAAACCCACATTATATTCAGCCAGAGCTTGGCGGTGTTTATTAAAATAAATGTTCTGGTTCACATTCGACAGATAAACAAAAAAAAACGAATGTCTTAATACAAAATGACTCAGTTTTTTTTTTATTATTTAATGGCGAATTATTAAATAGAACTTAAAATCTCGTTACAGTCAATATTATCATTAGGTTTAAATGGCAAATACAACTTTGCTCTAAATATCTAGTTTCGGCGAGTTTCGCCATTTTTATCACATCATATGATTCAAACGGCCAATCGCATCGCTTCCAGTCGTTTGTTATCGATCACCCCTTTCAACGATCTGTAACTTATCACGGCAAGAATGTACAGTGCTACGCAGCATCCTGTTTGGGGAAAAAGAGAAGAAATTTAGATTTATCAAAGAATCGAAAATAATTCGAAAAATATAAGAAACAGTCCAGAAAATATCACCAGAAAATAAATCAAAAGTCGAAAAAAGACAAAATCATTGAAGAGAATGAAATGTCAATCTGTGATCTTTTTTGATTGAATGAGATTGGGAGATAATTATTCTTTGATGATCAACGAAGAACTTGATTTGCTATAAACATTTACTGATTCATTTCATCGCCAATTTCCGGCTCTATACATATTCAATAATAATCTATAAATACCTGTTAGCGCATACAGTAAAACAAGACGGTGACTGTCTTCAGATTTCAGCCTATGTCGGACAAGGCATATGAAGCGAAGCCAAAGCAGCATCGAAATTCCCCACCAAATTAAACTTGCTAGCATCAATCTTATCATATTCTGGTAGAAAGAAACGGATTTTCATTAGATTTTAGATTTTCACCTTAAATGCATGACTAATATTCTATTTAAAATATTCAATATTCCATTTTCGTTTCAAACAGTTGTTGAATCGTTTCAATTTCGTATTAAAAAAAACAATAGTAATAAGATTTAATTGGTTTTAGATCTAAAATGAATCATCGATCGATTCATGAAATTCAAACAATGTGAAACAAAAGAAACCAGAGAAATATTCAATTGAAGTTTCATTTAAAAATTCTCAACATTTTAATTAATTTTCACTCTTTCATTCCCGGAATTTCATCTTTTTAATCAAATGTTGCTGTTTCATTCCGAGAATTTTGAATTTTTTATCAAATTTTACACATTTAGACTCGTATTTAGGTTCATTTGCTTGAAATTAATACGAAAATCACACAGTTTTTAGTGAAAAAAAAACTTTTTACTCTTGAGATCGAACAAAAATACGAATTTCACATGAATTTTGGCCTACCTTTGAAATCCCTGATAACCACAGTATCGTTGCCAGACTGTTGAAGACTAGAAAAAGATCGTAGAAATTAAAATTGGATATGGATATTCACTTGAGTTTCACAATGATTCATGAAAAATAAGCTGAATTTCGTAAATTATTTCACTAGAAATTCTTGATATTCACAAAAACAAGGCATATTTCTTGCATATTCTTTCAGATTTGAACCAAATTTTTATCAAACATTCACAAATTCTCATCAAATCCACGTATATTTCTATGTAGTTCGTTAAATTTTTCACATATTTCCACTAATAACACTCAAATTTTGTCACCTGAAAACTCTTACGTGTGAAATGCTCTTATGTTATTCATATTCGAGTCAATGCAAACACTTTTTTTTTCTATTAAAAGAGTTGCTCCTGAGTTATTTTCTAAAGAGTTGCGTATATCCACGGTTTGTTTTTCTTTAAAAATCATCACATTTCACAATTTAAGACGATTTGTTCCAATTAAAGCACACATTAAACCCAATAAATTGCTTCAACACCCGGAAAAGCAAACACTCACCAAATATCCAGAGCGTAACGATGAAGAAGATTTCGGAGCCGGAAAATGAGATAAGACAAACAAAGAAGGAAATTTGTCCAATGCTAAACACCATCATTAGCCAGCCGACGGCTATTCCGGCGACTTTCCAATCAAATCGACAATTTGTGTGACAATTCATCATTTCGAAGCGACTAACACTGATTGAATCTCGACTGATTGATATCACATCAATTGTATGAAAATATCTTGAACTTCAATTATTCAAATTCAATTGACACTTCAAATTGAAAAGTTCAACGTCAAAATTGACACTTCGACTTTCAACGGACTAGTGAACAAAGTGCTGTTTCGACGACAACAGCTATCGTTATACTGAACGCTCAGTTGCAAACTTCGCATTTGTAGTCGCCAATTCCGCTATTCGCTTATTATATCGCCTCATGCGTATGACTCATTTTCTAGGCATGCCCATTTATGACACGCGTGTATCTATTAATTTACACACACGGTAGAAGCATTAGGTGAAATTAGAATTTTGCACGATGTTTCAATGTAACGACGTTTTATGAGTTTCGAAGTTCATTTTTGTTATAAAATACGAACTCAAACGAATGAGTGAACTTGAAGAGGCGCACGAATGTAATGAATCGGTGGAGACACATATTCGAGGTTCAATGCCTTTGGCTTCTTTTTCGATTATTCCAAAAAGAACAATACATTTTTGGTTTTATTTCGAAAATTTCACGACTTTTTACTTTCGTAATTTAATTCTACGAAAATCTACATATCGGCCGAGATAGATAAAACTATATTTCGTGAGGAACCATTGACGTTTACGATTAATGAACAAAACTAAACTAATTAATGAAATCCCAATCAACTTGTACTAGGGGATCGAATAACCACAATTCATCACTTCAAATGGAAATCGTCTGTTTAGCTGCTCAAACAGTCATTTTATCGACTCGCTAACACAGACACTATTTCTGCCGCCACGGTTTTCGTTTCGCTGTACGCATCAAGCCGTATTCATCGTACGACTGGCAGCAACATCTGTTTCGCAACCTATACATTCACGAAACTAGTTTTTTTTACATACATGAAATATTCACGGCTAAACTTTATACTTTTTACTGACCGTATAATGCACAAGTGTCTCGATTTGTATGCAGCATTGTCTGTGATGTCACATGCGTCGGTTTATATTTCATGCCAAATATCACTTGTTGTTTTGTTCACGCTTCTCTTGGTGGTTTCATTGAGCTTTCATCTGTGACGTTGTGTGCAAAGTATATTCTGATTGAATACAATGATACTGGCTTGAAATCGATTCGAAAACCACTAAAATAGTCATCAAAGTGTGAAAAGAATCATGACGTGATACAGGTTGAATAGCATTTGATGGATTCTTTACACAAATTGCTCTAAATTATTGGGCAATAATGCATCATTACGAAGACAAAGATTTCCAGTATCGAAATTTGGATAGGCAGAATTATAGCAACTTCAGTTTGATGACATCAGATAATGTAATTTAAAAGAAAGTTTTTAGAAGGTGTGCGTTTTAAATCAATAAAAATGCAATTAAATTCCATTCGAATCACATAATAAATGAAGGGCACGTATGGTAGTAACAAATATAATTCCATTTATTGGATTTTGAAATATAACATGAGCCAATTAAAAGAGTGTGAAGTACTCTATGGATTTAATTTTGTAAATTGGATTTACTTTCAATTATTTCTTCCTTATTAATTATTATTCAGAAATGTATGAAAGGTAAATATTAGACTGCTCCAAAAAAAAAAGTTGTCCCTCATCTGAAAGGCCCGGGCAGTTTCGAAAAATATACCTCAAAAAATAGGTTTGGCGCAAACATTGCATATGGGTACCATATAAAAACCCATGGTACGCCCCATATTAAAATTTTCATAACAGCGATTTCAGAAGTCATTTTAGATCGCAACATTTCGACCGATTCCAGTATTCTAACCAAATTTTAACAAAAACTGATAATTAAGTTCTGTTTGGCTTGTCAATATCTACAACTTTTACCAAGACATTGGCCATTGAAAAGGCGTTCTGGGCCAGTTACAGTGCAAAATGATCGAAAAAATGGCAATTTTTCGGAATTTTTTACATTTTTTGCTCCACGAGTCACCCAGGCGGTGAACTTTCATTCAGATTTTGACCTGTGTCGTGTAGCCCGAATCTGTTCAAACATTTTGGTACTTGTCAGATTGCGATTTGGATGGAATTTGGCGACAATTGATTCACACATATAACACAAATTTCAGACCAAAATGAGCAAATCACAAACATGAGCTTCGATTTGACAGGTAAAAGCAAATGATGTCTACCTTTTCTGCCTTTGAACATCTAGTATGATCCTTTACGAACATTTTGGGTACTTATAGACCAAATCGAGTGATGTTTTCACATATTTCTGGCCGCATTTCAATTATAATTGAAGGACACATATAGCAAATACAATTCCATTTATTGGATTTTTAAATTAGAGCTTGGAATACAACCATTGACAATTGAAACGGTTTGCAATGTTTACTTTTGGATTTGATTTTAAAAATTGGATTTACTTCATTGTATTACAAAGTCAATAATAGCATAAGCGTTTTTCTGTGATAAAACCAAACTTTATTTTCCAAAAATAAACTTTTTCTTCATCTTTGTCTTATATATCAAAAAATCACAATGCCAATGGTAGGTATTTTACGGTAATGTGATTTTGATGATGTCAGTTGAGGAATTAACAAGCGCGACGCATCTGGTCAAGCCTAGAAACAAAAGTGATTCGGTTCAATTTTCTTTTCCTTTTTTTATGTATAGATACATCAACTGAACATTTTTATTTGAAAAATAAAAAACCTTAAATACAATTGGAACTTACACATGTTTAGCGTCTTGATCATGTAGTGATGCCAGATGACTCAAACAATTTTCGAGTCTAAAAATTCATTAAAAAAGAATCCAAAAAGATGAAAATAATGAATATTTGGAACTTGTAAAACAAACAAAAATAAACACTTACGCGTGTTTTTCATTTTCTTTACGCGTAAATGCTTGTATTGGCATATCGGAGCATCGTGGCTTAAACCTGAAACCACCATTAAACACATTTAAAATGAGCTGAACTTTTTTTCCATTTATAATTACTTACTTATCCCAATTACTGTTAATTAGATCTTTACATTCATGGGATAAACCGGAACTGAAAATACCTATATGATTGAATTTGTATGAATGAATAAAGCTTAGAAAACATTGAAAAATGGCTCATTCCTTCGGAATTTAAAAGAAATTCACATGAAAACAAAACCACTTTTCCCACCATAAAAAGTACACTTTAAGATAGGTAAGTCAACCATTTCTTGAAACTTTGAGATTTTTATCGGAACATCTGTCATTTTCTTAGGAGCAAAATTGCTGTCTTTGACATTTACGTGCTGGTCTGAATGATTTAAATGCTAAATATTGCATTGCACGGGCTAATGTATGATTCATAGATCATAGGTTCTCGATATTGGGTGCAAACTTATGTTTGTGAGT